AATTAGTTTCTGCTCACGTAGTCTTATATAACGGTAATGTGACGAAGAATAATCAAGTCAAAATAAGTTACAATGAACATTACTTAAGTTAAGCTTACCTCGAGTTGACCAATACCAAACATGTTTTTTTTTGCTTTCAAAAAAGTTTGTTTTGTTGCGTATCTGACCTGAGTGAGTGCGAGCAGAGCAACAGTACTTATAACATACTTTTGAAAAATGCGAAACGAAAATAAAAATGAAAAAAATTAAAGAAAAAAATACTACATACCTTAGGGCAAGTTCAGGCAAGCACAAAATTTTTTCATCCACGTCATTGTGTCAACGTCATTTTGCCATGGAAACCTACGTCATCATTTTAGCATTACCGAATGGAATCGGAAGTCCTTCGTAAAGTGTTCGTTCCAAAATTCTATTTTTTGAGCGGGAAAGCAAAGAACAGCTTTTTCGACAAAAACTGCTGCAAAAGCGATATTAGACATGACTCAGAGAGGAGAGATGACTGAAGAGGAAATGAGGAATGATGATGGCATAGATGTAAGATAACTTAATTGTGTATTACAAAAATTTACAGTAAGACTGCCACAGCAACTTTTGATTCAAACTTGCCATAAAATCTCATCTAACGTGCAAATCTAATTTTAATGCTAAAAGATAGGTTATTTCTATTGACAAGGAATGCTGTTTATAACATCGTAGTTGGTAATGATAACATACATTTGTGTCATCAGATTGATCATGCTTAGTTCATAAACTCAACCTAAGGTTTTGCGTTTTATCCCAAGACAACTTTCGTTGTTTTGTACATGTAGTAATTTTTGAAAAAGATGTCGTCTGCAAATCATTTCGGTTATTTTTGTCTTTTTGTTTTTCGTAGGGAGATGAAGAATATTGTTCAAGGAAGAGGATACCCTGTTTGTGTACAAAATGTTGTGGGAAACTGGTGAGCAGGCAAACATTTCATAGACATCTTGGGCTCAACARGGATTTTACTGGCAAGGTGAGGAAAGGGTCTCATTTTCACCTGCAGCAATTAAAATGCAAGCACTTAGTGCATACARTGTATTACCAGATAGTTCACAATTCAAGAAAATGTAAGCTTAAATGTAATGCAAATGCTTCATTGCAAGAAAAGTTTCATTACTTTTTTTATATTTGCATTGCTGGCCTACTGCCTTGAGTCAGAGCTTTCATATATGGAAGCCAGATGGCAATTGATAATCAAGAGGAAACAAGGGTAATAAGTATTGAAGTATTTAATATTCAAATTCATGCACAACAATTTGATCAATAGAATATCGGTTTACATAACTGATACACTGGAAATCATACATACTTTTTGACATAGAAAATACATACTGACTACATAGTGAATCCAACAGTTATGTGAAATCTATGTATGAGAATACAACTATCTATGCTATTTTGTGTTCTTACATAGTGAATAGTTTATAGAATGGCAGCAAATGAAAAAAAATCGATAGAAAATGCATATCTATTCAAAACCTATGTTAACATTGTACATTGACATATCTATGTAAAAGCTATTTGCATGGTGTCCAGATAGTTTTTCCATAGATTGTAACTATATTTTSCATACCTATAGACTATGCAGTTTTGGTGTGTACATACAAAATGYATAAGGCTCTCAGAGGCAGTAAATACCAGTACATAGTGCAACATAGTAAAAAATTAGTATCAACATCCCGGGGGGGCACTCCCATATATTTGCTATACAAGGACGTGCCGCTGGCCAGGGTATGGTTTTTGGCCTTGCTGTCTTAAACAGGGTATATATTTCACCAGAAATTGTCTTAAACAGACCCTACAATTTAGATAAAAGACCGATATAATTTTTGTGTGTCTTAGACGGGGTAATATTTTCATAAGAAATACCGTAGAAATAATAAAAATACTGTTTCACTGTCCCAGGATTAGCGTGTTATCAAAAATTTCTTATTGTCTTTGATGGATGTCAGTATAATTGCACTTTTGATGGTTGCGGCGCAGATTGATATACCTTATTTTTCCGATTTGTCTTGAACAGGGTATGGATTTTCACTTTCTAGTGTCTTAAACAGGGTCAGGGATTTAGACCGCGGGCGGCACATACCTTTCCAAAATGGGGTCGAGTATCCCCCCGGGATCAACATAGGTTTTACATATGTTTGGTTATACAAGGGTATAGACTTTGTATTGCCTTGACATGTAAAATGCTACCTTTTGATGTTTTTTAAAAGACACCTGATCCATCCGGTTCCTGTTGGAGTGCTAGTTCACTGTCCCCTCTCAGTAATGATTTATACTGTGTATCTGGAACACCACCTGCAGATGGATTGGATGATGAAATGACAGGGTATGAACCAGTGAGTGATATAGATAGTGAAAGTGAAGGGCTTGATGAGTGTGCCAGCAACATTTCAAGCCAAGAAAGTGAAGGTAAGTACAATGTTAGTACACTATCATGTATTAATCACTTGAGTTTGGTGATCAAATGACCACACTGCAGCACACTTGAAATCAGTCAGTTGTCTTGTTATATAATGTTGTTGCTATATAGAATTTGTAGTTTTCACTTTTAATATATTTTTAAATATATTATACTATCTCATTTAAATTATTTTTCCAATTCAGAATCAGAGAACTCGGATGTACTTGAAGATGGTGTTAGTGATCATGACTTTGACATAAATGAAAATGAGAGGGGAGGTCTAAATAATGCAAGGAATGATAGTATTGAGAAATTCATAATGAGAACCTTAAAATTAAAAGTGAAATTTGGATGGTCTAGAGAGGAAACTCTGCATCAATTAAGCAATTTCTATGAGTATGCTCAAGATGATCGAATACCTCATGGGGATTGGCAAGGGGTTATGAAATTTTTAAAAGGAATCGGTTATGATGATCCACGTGTTTATAAAATTTGTTGTGCAAATGATCACGTTTATTTGCTGGAGCAAGAAGCCGAAAGATGTCCTACTTGTGATAAGAGAAAAAAATGCATTGATTATTATGTGCTTGGAATAAATTTGAAGGAAATGTTCTCTGGTGATGACTATATCAAAGACATACTTGCSCATTGGGAGAATAGGGAGAGTTGGTTTAACTTGAATGAAAATGTTTTCCCAAAAAAAGAGATTTGGCATGGTGACCGCTTTAAAGAGTTGTCCCATTTTTGGGACGGCAAAGTGAAGACATCATTGCCTGGTAAGTGTCCAAATTGTAATGACATCATATCAGTGAGTGAATTGGAAGAATTTCAACAAAAAGCTGCAGGCATCACTGGTGGCATAGATTCTTTTAATGTGGAGTGTTTTAAATGCGGGAATTCCTTTATGTTTTCCTGGAAGTACATGCATGGTTCCCCTTTGAATCAAGCTTTCATTTTTCATGAAGATGGTTTTAATAGTTTCAATAAAAAAACAAGGGGAATAGCTACAATTCAATTAACAAGTGCATGTACATTGAAAGAGAAGCGTTCCAGAGGTGTTTCTTTTCAAGTTTACAGCTTTATACCGGCATGTTATCTTAGTGATGGCATTGTACACAAATTGGATGCCTTCTTCAAACCTCTGTTTGATGAAATYGAAGCTCTATATCTAAGTGGAGTGAGTGTATCATTGCCAAGATCTTTAACAYTGGAAAGCTGCACTATACCAGCAGGAGAACACAGAGTGAGGGCACTTCTACTTCTTGGTACAGCTGATCTGAAGGCTCACCAAGATATTGCTCTGTATGCCGGAGGTAGTTATTCCATTTTGTTGCAAAACAACAAATCATCATATATATAAAATTGTTTTAACAGTTGCTGTAAATTAGTATTAAATTTTATAAAATTTTTGATATATAACGCGCGCTCTGATTGGCTGACCGTGTTTATATCAGAGGACAGATACATGTCCACCGTTTTATATTTCTTAAGTAATACATTATATAATTCATGCATCCATAATACATGAGAAATTTTAYATTATCGAGTAATTATCTATCCCACTTTCTTAGGSGGTAGATGTGGCTGTCGAAAATGTCTTCTTGTTGGTGTGTACATAGCAGAAAAAAGGCACTACTACTATGGGAATTTCCGTGAAAGGTACTGTCATCCAGMAGCCCCAAGAACTGTTGAGTACATTAGCCAACATGGCAAGAGGTGTGAWCAGGCAGAAAACAAATCAAGAASKCAAGATATACAGAGAGAAAYTGGAGTGAAAGGGCTGACAATATTGTTGAGACTGCACAGGMTGTATGGTTTTGATCCTATCAATGACATGGTAATTGATAGAATGCATGTGTGTTTCAACATGCTCAAAAGAGARTTTGTTGACMAGATTTGGCGAGACATGGGACCAAACGTTGACAAAGAAGTGAATGAAAGAGACCCAGCAGTGGGAGGATTAGTGCAGAGAGGTGAGTTTGCTAATGCACTTGATGCAGTTCAGTGAACCGCAGATCAGAAAGCCTCTGGTGCAGCAAGATTAAAAAGCTTTACAGATCAACTTGGGGGATGGAAGACAGCAGAGTTCAACAAGTAAGAATTATCATTTAATAGCACTTTACATACATTGTTATAGAGTCAATAGGAAAAATGTAAAACTGTTGCTGCTCTGCTGATATTAAAACCCAGTGATAGATGGTTAGCACAAGAGAAACAACAGTAATTCTCTTGAATCATTATTAATATATTTTTGTTATCAACAATTTATATTTTTTTCAAATGTGAATGGCAAACCATAAATTTTCTCTTTTYCATAAACATGGTCATCAGAAAATTTGAGCATATACAGTTGAACATACAAAATATCTATAATTACAAAACAACATATCAGAGGCATTTCTTCCTAAACATTTGGAATGTAATCATGTGCTTTTTTCAGATTCAGTCAAGTTGCAAGAGAAGTTCTTGCATACAAAATACCATCCAAGGCATTTGATAGTTTCATGCTACTGTGTCAGGCAAACAATATGCTATACAGTAAGAATCTAAGAAGTTCAGGGTGGACAATRGAAAACCTTTCCACCTTGAATGACTTGCTATGGTCGCATGCCATTAGATTTGAAGAATACTATGGTTTAGGTTCATGCACTGAGAACCTAGAGTACTCCACACATATTGTGAATGACATACACAGGCACTCAAGTCCAGATAACTATACATGTGAGTTGTATGAAAGAGGAATAAGAGTTCACAAACAACAAAAKCACAATTCAAAAAGCATTGAGAAGACTTTGACTCTTAGAGAACATCTTCGGCAATTTATTGCGCTCTATGAGAGAAGGTATGGTCCTATATCACAGTTAGAAGAAAAGAAAATGTACAAGTTTGACCCATCATCTCTAGCAAATGAGAATAATTCCTTTTGTCTGCATGAGTCATCACTTGATGCAGCAAAGGCACTCCTTTGTGATTTTAAAGGAACATGTGATACCAGGATGAAGCAAGCCATTGCTGGTGGTGTGGCTATTGGGAAGATGTCACGTGCGACTTTACAAGACCAGRAGAAAAATGAAATAAAAGAGCATTTTTTAGCCATGTATCACCGCGAAGTAAATGATGTTCCCACAAACACAAACAGCTTCAAAACGATATTGAAGTACAATGAGCATGGGGAGATTGAAAGGTTCCAAGCTGGTGACACCTGTGTTGTTGCTGGTGGCGAGAACCTACAAGAGGAATGGATTGTCAAACTATCATCATTCACAATGGTGGGGCCTTTAGATGGCTGTTATTATAATTTTGCAGATGGAGAATATTATATTCGTGCTGTAGTCACCAATCGGCCAAACTTTCTTGTCCATGAATGGACTAAAACCAACCAATTAGTTCCAAGGCATTACAATCATGGTAGATTGCAGCCAGTGGCAAACATTAGGAGAAAATGCATATTATATCCAGATCCTCTGAATGTCCAAGAACCATCTTATTATTTGCCAATAGATTACCAGAAGCCAGAATCAAACGTTAGTGTATGTGTTCCTGTCTTTCCGGAATTAGGCGATGATCTTCTTATTCAAGGAACRAGCAATGKCAGATGGTATGGAAGAGTAATTGAAAGGGATACTGATGTCAGAACTGTAACTGTCCAGTGGTTTTTTCCATCTAACGTAAAAGATATATGGAGGTTAAGACAGGACACTGATGATGTGCACTTCAACAGTATAATATCAAAAGTAGAGTTCCAAAGAGCTGAACGCTATGGCAGAGGAAAATACGAGCTAATACAATGAGAAGGCTGTGTATTTGAGTCAAAGTATGCATGGGTATCATTTGTTTAATTTTCATGATCTCTGAGAGATCATGTACACATGCTTGGTGTTCTCCTCTTTAAATGTAAAAAAATTATGATATTTGAATGTGCAATTCATGCTTTACTAGTCAGAATAATCAATCCATGAAATCACACTTCAGTAAAAACAATGAAACTTGAAAATCTTTTGTTGCATCACTCATTCAAGGAATTCATTTTTTCTTGTTAAATGTCCTTCCTTTGTCCTTTTCTGATTTTTTTCATTATCAAATTATTTTAAACACAACTTTGACTCAAATGGTGTTGGTGAGTCGTGTTAAGCCCAAGCTTTGGCTTAGACTCTGCATGAGAAATGGTGTCGTTTACATTAAATATAATTGCAAAAGACTTATATATAAAAACTAGCAGTGTTGCCACAAACAATGCCCATTGGTTGTAGAACTATTATAAGTTCATATTTCTTTGATAT